CCAGGCGGTGCAACCAGGCGGTGCAACCAGGCGGTGCAACCAGGCGGTGCAACCAGGCGGTGCAACCAGGCGGTGCAACCAGGCGGTGCAACCAGAGGTGGAGCAACCAGGCTTGCAACCACCGACCGTTATTGCACCCCGAAAAAAGCTCGCTGCAACTAAGGAAGGTGACGGTGGCGCAGTCGGATCGTTCCAACAACTGTGAGCTAGCCGGGCGGGGGGAAAGTTTTACGATCGGCCGACGGAGCCGAGTGTTCGAACCCGGGTGGGTGAAGTGCGGGTCAGGCGGGCACGCGGCCCTGGTTAGCCCAGGATTTGCGGTTCTGTGAAGAGGACGACGGGCAGGTCCACGGCAGCCTCCCCTCCCTCCAGCCCGCGCCAGCCCCTCTCCCCCTGCTCTTCTCCGGCTCTCTCGGTCGGGATTCACGCGCGCGCGCCGTGCGCCCGCAGCAGCGCGGTCGGGAAGCCCCCAGGACCAGCAAGTTCACAATCCTCCACGAATCAAAACAGTGTATTATGATATCTTCGAAATAAGAGGAAAGTAAATGAAATGCATAAAATGGCACCCACACGAAAGGATTATTATTTTGTCAGTGTATTGACTTGTTAGAATATACCTGGTGGCTGATTAACCCCGCGCACTTCTGTAGTTAGACTGTACCGCACGCATGAGCGCGGACGGGCTTGCCTATCGCCCCTGTCCACGGCGCCTTACGGGCCGGGCGAGTAGGCAACCCACCGGCACTCGTGCGTGCGGTACAGTCTAACTACAGAAGTGCGCGGGGTTAAACAGCCACCTGGTATGTGACAGAGCTCAAATATGCATGAACATCCTATTGAGTTTGAGTTCTGTGCCCTACCGGCGGTTGGCGCAAACCGCACGCTACGCTCAACCACAACCTGGTGTTACTACTGGGCTCGATTTCTATAAAACAGGGGAGATAGCATCAGAGAAATGGATATCGACCGCAGAGTATCTCGGCTGGGCCGATGGCCGCTGAATGCAAGGTCTTGACCGACTCTTGACCTCAGGCGAAGAGAGACGACCGGGAAATATGCATGTCACGTGGCTGGGCAGCGGATGCACGGAAAAGCGTTGGAAAATAGGGGTGGTGGGTGGTGTATGTATGTATGTGTGAGTAAAAGAGAGAGGGAGAGAGAAATTGAGAGAGGGGGAGAGAAAGAAAGAGATAGAGAGCGGACTAGTTAGTGAAAGAGAGAGAGAGAAACCCGTTTATTGGTCTAATCAGGGTCGTGTGTACGGCAGCCAGCTGCTGTAGCGGATCAAAACGCCTCGGCGTGTCGCTGTACCCCCACCACACATTCTATTTACCAGAACCTACCCCCTCCCCCTCCGCGCCTCGCCCCGCTCGACTTATCGCCAGATTCATTTCAAAGTAAGTTATTCATTGTCTGTAGATTCATATCGCGTATCGGGGGCCCGGCCGGCCCGGCGCGCGTTTGCGGCCGCAGGATGCGATGACGGGGTGGAGAGTGCGCGGGGCGGGGCCGCCCGCCCGTCCAGCCGAGAAACGCCCAGAGATGAGAAGACTGACGGTAATAAATTAAAAATTTCAAGTGTAGGTTTCTGGTTTGTAGTTTGTTTTTATGGCAACAGTTTCCTTTAAATTTCCAACGTTATTGTATATAATCACAAAAACAACACACTCGCAGCATCTTAATAAAAAATAGACCATTTCAGTTTCGGTAATAAGAAGAGGATAAATTAAGAATCAATCTTGAAAGCAGATGATACAAATTTAAGATTAGGCCTGTGTTCTAATTTCCTCTCATATTAACTACGTAGAGGACCGACCGGCGTCGATAGCTCCCAGGTAATGACGGGCGCAGATTTTGTTTTTCACATATGACTATTCCCTGATTCATTTCATTTTTTCTGATTTTCTCTTATTTTTTTCAAACCGGATTTTTTGTTTTGTGGGCTGTACATTGACTTTTCTCAGTGCAGTAGTATACCCCTCGGGGCTGGACCGGACGCAGGCTCCGGGTCCAGGGGAGCGGGTGGACATGGACATCCTCCGCGGGCCGGAGTGCCGGAGGAGAGAGAGGGTTATGCCTCGCCTCCCGCGGGTCGGGACCACGCCGGCAGCGCCGCGCGGCGGCGACCGCGGGAACTGAGAGGCGAGGCGTGGCGTGGCGTTGCGGGCCGACAAGGCGGAGTCATGACCTCCCCGTCCCGTCCTCCCTCCCCTCCAGCGGCGCGGCCCCGGGGCGGGAGGGGAGGGGGGAGCTGGAGCGGGCGCTTCTGGAGCGCGGCCGCTGCTGGAGCGAGGGGGGCGGACAAAATGGCTGTCCCGTGCTACGGCAGGAGGCCGCGCCGCCAGGAGGCTCGCGGGCGTCGCGGCCGCAGCGGCCACCTCTCCCCGCGGCGGCGCACGCGTCCTGGACCAGCTCGTTCGTGAGACAGTTCGAGAGCTCTAGCCCCACAGCCAGGCCCTGCGTGCTTGCTCGTTGACCGCGTCGACGAGACGTAATCACGCCCATGACGAGCTCCTCGTGACTCAGCCCGATCTGCTGGAGGAGTAAGTCGGTAGCACGTCGGGGGCATCGCCGACCCGGGCTGTACGCTGTACCCTGTACCACGGAGAGACGGACAATAAAACGAGCGACGACAAACCGAGGGCGGCGTCCGAACCCACGGGGCTGCATGGACGACACGACCGTTGGAGTAGGCGTCGCGTCGCGTCGCCTTGCTCGGCTGGTTTGTTTGGACGCGTGGTCCGCGAGGCCCGCACCCTTCTCTTTCCCCCCCTCAGCTGCGCGGCGGCTGCTGCAACCAGCTGAGCGGCCCTGACTTCTTCATCTGGTCGCGCTCGGCGGGGCGGCGCGGCGCAGGCCATCCCCCGGCGGTGGGCCCGCGGCGGTGCGGTGGTGGCCGCCGCGCACCCCGCGCAGCACCCCCGGGGAGGAGGCCGCCGGCGGATGATGGGGCCCGCTGGTGTCGAGCGAACGCCAGCGCCAGCTACTGTCTCCACATTACGGAGCGGGAGGAGGTGACTCTTGAATTGGGAGTGAAGATCGACAGAGCGGGGTGGGGTCGAGCCAGCAGCGCCCTCCAGGGGGTGGGGGAGAGGTGAGCGGTTCATGCCCGCCCCGCCATCCGGAGGCCTCTGCCGTGGCCATCCTCGAGAGCATTGATGATGACGGACTGGAATACCGCGTGCGCCAAAGTCGGGCGGTAAATCCTGTGATAATAATGATGGTTTTGTCATGCGGGCGGGACAGAGTGCGCGCGGGCCTGAACGATATAGGGCCGCAGCAGCCTACACGGGCCTTAAGGGGATCAGGGAGGGCCTTAGAGGGTCTCGCATGTAACGGCCGAGCCCCGAGCTGAAGGGCCCAAGACATGCGTGCACTTGTTGTTCCAGGAACGAGCAGAGCAAGGGCCGCGAGCCGGCCGTGGGAGTGTGTGAGTGACCTGTGCGCGTGAGAGTGAGTGGGAGGGAAGTCAGGCCGAGGAGAGGACACGGCGCTGAGGCGAGGTGCGAAGACACGCATGCACACACACAC